TTCAAAATAATTTCTAATTATCTTCTGTATTTCTGAATTGTCTGTTGTGATGTTGCCTTTTTCATCCCGTAAGCTAGTAATTTGGGTTCTCTCTCTCTTCTTCTCTTTGTTAGCATGGCTAGTGGTCTATCAATCTTATTTATTTTTTCAAAGAACCAACTTTTAGTTTTGTCAATTTTTTCAATTGTTTCTTTTGTTTCAATTTCATTGATTTCAGCTCTAATTTTAATTATTTCTTGCCTTCTACTGTATTTGCTGCTGATTTGTTCTTCTTTTTCTAAGGCTTTGAGGTATAGTGTGAGGTCATTTATTTGTTGGCTTTTCCTTCTTTTAAGGAATGAACTCCATGAAATGAATTTTCCTCTTAGTACTGCTTTCATAGTGTCCCAGAGATTTCAATATGTTGTGTCTGGGTTTTCATTTGCCTCTAAGAATTTTTTAATTTCCTCTTTGATGTCTTCTGTAACCCTTTGTTCATTCAGTAGCATATTGTTTAATCTCCAGGTGATGTAGGATTTTTCCTTTCTCATTTTATTATTGATTTCCAATTTCATTCCATTATGATCAGATAAAATGCATGGTAGTATCTCTACTCCCTTTGTAATTGCTAAGATTTGCCCTGTGACATAATATATAGTCTATTTTTGAGAAGTATCCATGTGCTGCTGAGAAAAAAGTGTATCTGCTTGATGTTGGGTGGTATATTCTGTATATATCAATTAAGTCTAAATTATTAATTGTATTATTGAGCTCTATGGTTTCTTTATTCAACTTTTGTTTGGAAGATCTGTCCAGTGGTGAGAGAGGTGTGTTAAAATCTCCCATGATTATTGTGTTGTGGTCTATTTGACTCTTGAACTTGAGAAGAGTTTGTTTGATGAATGTAGCTGCACCATTGTTTGGGGCATATATATTAATGATCGTCAAGTCTTGTTGGTGTATGGTTCCCTTGAGCAGTATGTAGTGTCCTTGTTTATCCCCTTTGATTAACTTTGGCTTAAAGTCTATTTTATTTGATACAAGTATGGACACCCCTGCTTGCTTCCGGGGTCCGTATGAGTGATATGATTTTTCCCAACCTTTCACCTTCAGTCTGTGTATGTCTTTTCCTGTCAGATGAGTCTCCTGTAGGCAGCATATTGTTGGATCTTTTTTTTAATCCATTCTACTAGCCTATGTCTTTTGATTGGTGCATTTAAGCCATTAACATTTAGGGTTACTATTGAGATATGGTTTGTATTTCCAGCCATATTTGATTATGTATGTTACTTAACATGATTTGTTTTTCCTCTATGATTAGTTTTTCCTTTACTGTACTACCTCCCGCTGTTGGTTTTCATTGTTATTTTTCATTTCCTCTTCCTGTAATGTTTTGCCAAGGATGTTTTGAAGAGCTGGTTTTCTAGCTGCAAATTCTTTTAACTTTTGTTTATCGTGGAAGATTTTTATTTCATCTTCAGTCCTGAAACTTAATTTCACTGGATACATGATTCTTGGTTGCAACCCTTTTTCTTTCAGCGTTTGAAATATGTTGTTCCAGGATCTTCTAGCTTTCAGAGTCTGTGTTGAAAGATCAGCAGTTATCCTGATTGGTTTACCCCTAAATGTAATCTGCTTCCTCTCTATTGTGGCTTTTAAGATTCTCTCCTTATTCTGTATGTTGGGCATCTTCATTATTATGTGTCTTGGTGTGGATCTCTTATGATTTTGTACATTCGGTGCCCTATAGGCTTCTAGTATTTGGATTTCTCTTTCATTCTTTAATTCTGGGAAGTTTTCTAGTATTATTTCATTGAATAGATTGCTCATTCCCTTGGTTTGGACCTCTATACCCTCTTGTATCCCAATAACTCTTAGGTTTGGTTTCTTTACGTTATCCCATAATTCTTGGATGTTCTGCTCATGATTTCTTAACATTCTCGCTGAGCTGTCTATGTTCTTTTCAAGTTGAAAAACTTTGTCTTCGTTGTCTGAAGTTCTATCTTCTAAGTGTTCTACTCTGCTGGTAATACTCTCATTTGAGTTTTTAATTTGGTTTATTGTTTCCTGCATTTCCAGGATTTCTGTTTGTTTGTTTTTTATATCCTCTATCTCCCTATAGAATTGATCTTTTGCTTCTTGGATTTGTTTATGTAATTCATTGTCAAAGTGATCTTTCATTGTCTGAATTTGCTGTATAATGTCTTCCTTGAGACTCCAGATCATCTGAAGCATATATATCCTGAACTCTTTGTCTGACATTCTGTCAGCTGCAGATATTACCTCATCTAATGTTGAATTGACCTGTATTGTTTGTGGTCCTTTCTTTCCTTGTCTTTTCATACTGCTCATGATTCTTTCTAGTTTTGTGAAACTGTTGTGTTAATGTTTTTCCCCTTATATATTTGTATTGTTCTTGTATAGCTCCAAAATCCCTCTTTTGCAGAGAAAGACAATGTTAACAGTTCCCAATATCAACAGTACATCATCTAAGCACAAGTTTTCATTATTAATACATTTATAGTTAGATTCTAAGTCTATAGATATTGGTTTTAATTATTACTTAAGAATATATTCATTAGTATCATAAAAGGCATACCATATCTGGTGGCATATAGAAAACTTAATTTCAGACAAAGGATTTTATACTTAGAGGGAAAGGAGTGAGGGTATGAGGTTAAACTAACTTAGCACCTTTGGAGAACTCTAACCAATAGACTGGTAATTTATGGAAGAATGTATAGACTCAACCTCCTATTTGTATTTAGATAGTTACCCTATGTATAGATAGCAAAAGTTAGGAGATTGAAAGTGGGATAGAGAGAATATGAATGAAAAAAAAAATAACAAGGAAGAAAAGAGAAATAAGAGAGAAGGAAAAGGAAAGTAAGATAGAAATAGAGAAAAGAAAATGGGGGGAAGGTGGGGTATATGCAATTCTTCTATATTATATTACTTTGGTAATTCTGTTGTTCATGCACAGTTCTTGGTTTCACATATGTTGAAGTTGTGGAAGAGAGAGAAGAAAAGAGAGAAAGAAAGAGAAAAAAAAAAAGTCTCTCAGATCACTGTTTTCCTTGCTTCCAGTAGGTGGCGTTGTCTATTCCTAGCTTGAGCCTCTGTATTCAGGGTGGTGGGTATAGCCAGTGTGAAAGGAAATGAGCTTCCACCTGTATCTTCCCTACTCTAGTCTCTGAGGTAGAAACCAGGTGCCTGTACAGTTGTTGTTTTGCGTTGATAGCTACAACCCCCCAAAGCTTGTGGGAAATATTTTGAGTTATCGCAGCTAAGGGTGGGGGAGTTGGAAACCGGGTACCTGGATCAGCCGCAGAACCGTTCTGGTAGCCACACCCCCTTTGATGGGTTTTAAGGGTTGATGGGCTTCCTCCGGACTAGCACACGGGGCGGGGCCGGGCTTCCTCCTCCGGTCTGGCTTGGCGCCGGGCGGCTTCCTCCTCCGGTCTGGCTTGGCTGGAGCCCTTGACAGATAGGATTTAACAGGGAGAGGGAGTAAGAGGAATCCAGGATAAATCTTAGAATTAGGGTTTAGCTGAGTGTACTCAAAGAGTGTCCCAAAGACCTGCGCCAGACTTCAAACTGTCAACTTGAGATAACTACAGAAATGGAAATTAATATTAAGGAATTTTTAATAGCAATTTAACAGGGAAATATTATGTGCATAAATATAATAATTTTGTTTTCCTTGTTAATTTCATTTTGCTAGTAATTCATTTTGTTTTCATTTTACAAAAGTACAAATTAGAAAATTTTCAAAACCTGGTTTTTACCATAGACAGTAATGAGAAGCACTGGTTGAACCATTTAACCAAGTAAATGAATCTCAGTGGCACCATTTCCTGAGATGAAGAGCAAGCTAGGAGCACCTCTGGGAGTCAGAAATCAGCTGTGTTGTTTGAGCCATACTAATTTTGAGAAGCCCATTGAGCACCACAATGTAGAATTAATCATTGGGTATATGATTCTGAAGTTCTAGAGAGGAATCAGACTTGGAAATAGGGCTTTGGGAGTCCTCAGCATACAGAAACTGTCTGCAGCTGTGAGATTGAACGAGATCACCAAGAGCAGAGGATTAGGTGCCAGCAGAAGAGAATGATCAGATGCTGCTAGAGAAAAAGAAGGAAAAACAGTATGGTGTGTCATGAAACCCAATAGAAGAAAATGTTTCAAAAAGGAAAAGTAGTCAACTCTGACTTATGCTGCTGAGAGGTCAAGTAAGGTAAGAACAGAAAAGTGATGATTCCATTTGGCTAATTTACAGACCCTAACAGCAGCATTTTCAGTGGAACAGTGAGAACACAAGCTTAATTGGAGTAGCCTACCAAGAGAGTAGGCAACAAGAAAGCCATCTGGTAACAATAGAGGTGGGGGTATTTCACTGCAGTTGCTTTGTGTGTGTGTGTGTGTGTGTGTGTGTGTGTGTGTGTGTGGCACTGGGGATCAAACCCAGGGCTTCATGCATGCTAGGCAAATACTCTCTCTGAGCTGTACCCCCAGCCCTAGAGTTACTTCAAATAGTTCTGTTGTTAAGGGAACTGAGAGATGTAGTGAAGGCCATCGTGGAGCTAAGGGAAATTTATTCAGGACAAAAATGTCTAGAAGAGACAGGAAGTTGTTGATGCAGGCATGTATCAGAATGCAGGGAAGAACATCTTTGCCAAAAAACTCTATAGGTAGTTCTGCATGTTAACTGAATGAATGTTAACTGTGGTTATAGAAATTATATTACATTTTCACTCCAGTCCCTACAGAATTCTACTGAAGTTCCAGTTTCAAGGTAAGAAATCAGAATTCACTAAGGCAGTTTGGGATTTTAGTAGAAATACTGAAATTTCCCTTTATGCTCCATGGCAAGTGGCTGGCAATGGGACATGCCTGCTTCATTGAGTTTCATAGTATAAATCTAATGTCTGAATCTGTAAGTTACATCCTCAATTATAGTGGTGGACATGTTCTTCCTCAACATAGGAATAGAACTTTAAACATATGTGTCATTTTGACAGGAGTACAAAATTTCAAGCTTTGAACAAAGGCTGATGAATGAAATAGAGTTTCGCTTGGAACGTACACCTGTAGACGAATCAGACGATGAAATCCAACACGACGAGATCCCCACGGGCAAGTGTATTGCTCCCATCTTTGACAAAAGACTCAAGCACTTCCGGGTTACAGAAGGCTCTCCAGTCACATTCACCTGCAAAATTGTTGGCATACCTGTTCCAAAGGTAGGAGAAGATGACCAGCCAGTTAACCATCCAACAGCACAGAATGATAGTGTGTTCAAAACAGTCTTAGTATACTCTTGTGTATCTACAGAGGGAATGAAAATCAATTCGAGAAATGAGCAAAACCCAGTTATTTGACTAAAATGAGAATATCAGGAATAGGATCATTAAATAAAGCAAAAAGAAATCAGACTTGTTAGAATTTTAATAAAATTTCTGAATAAATCTTTTAGTCACAATAGTGTACTATGGGCTATTGATTCTCTTAACCATCAAATTCATCAATCTAACATTTTTCATTATATTTAAAATCTATTGAATACACATAGGGCGACTGTTGTACAAAGCGAGCTATATTTGTATTATTACTATTAGGTTGGTAAATGCCGAAAATGTCATATCATTATCACTGACTGCTGAAAAATCTTATGAGTCACCAGATTTTTTGGCAAGTCAGCTAAGAGAAGGATTTACACCTGGTGTGGCTGTGGCAGGAGATCTCTTCACTCTACTTTCACAAACATTTGTCTGATGTTATTATGTATGGTTAGGTAACCAGGAAAAGTAGAAGGGCAGTTGCAACCAGTACTTTTATCCCCCCTGTCTTTGAGAGATATCCTTGACATATGCAGAACTTGTCACGAAGAAAATTTTTTATTTTGGTTAGATGAGAAATTTAGCTAGTTGATTCTAGCCTTATTCAACTTGGCATATTAAATCATGCTCTCCTTTCAAGCAAGGTGAGCTATCATAGGTACTGAGATCTGAAACTGCAGGAGACTTAAATGTATATAGATAATGAGAAAAGAGCCAGGTTCCTGGTTTTCATTATTTTGCCTCTGAAGACACATCTGGTTCTTAGGGTATCTTTCAAACTAATAATGAGGTACAATAAAATACTCAAAAGCTTTATCTTAATCCTAAATTATATTGAATTTTTTACTTAAGTATTATATAAATAGAGGGGTATATAATACCATCATTATAAATATGTTTTATAGCTTTTTTTCCAAGTGCTTTGAAAAGAGTAACATGTTGTAGAAATGATAGTTGACACTTGCCTCATCCTACTCCCTAGTTCTTTATCTTCTAAAGATATATGGAACATTATATATGCACATATATACACACACACATACATATACACATACATATACATATATTCTTCTTGATTATCTTTCACTTCAGGTTTACTGGTTCAAAGATGGGAAGCAGATTTCTAAGAGAAATGAGCACTGCAAAATGAGGCGAGAAGGAGATGGGACATGTTCTCTGCACATTGAATCCACCACCAGTGATGACGATGGCAACTACACCATCATGGCAGCCAACCCCCAGGTGGAGACGCAGGGTTACGCACTGTGCTGCACTCTGAGGAAGGAGCGGTTGATGTCATTGTGAATGAGACCTTGAGAAGTGCGAGTTACTCAGGATTGCTGAGGAAAATGAATGAGAAGCATTGTGATTGTGTGTAACTAGAGCGCAGTATCACAACCTAAAAGACTAGTTAGCCACTGACAGGTCACTCAACATTTCAGGCTTTGTCAAAGGACATTGGTACTATTTCTTCACTACATTTCCCTCCCATACCTGTTGGGCTGAATTTTTTTTTTTTTTTTTTAAAGTGCTAAGCTTCATGCACTTTCTTTTTTTTTTTTTTTTTTTTTTTTTTTTTTTTTTTTTTTTTAGTTTTCGGCGGACACAACATCTTTGTTTGTACGTGGTGCTGAGGATCGAACCCGGGCCGCACGCATGCCAGGCGAGCGCGCTACCGCTTGAGCCACATCCCCAGCCCAAAAAAATATTTATTTTTTTTTAGTCTTCAGCGGACACAACATCTTTGTCCGTTATGTGGTGTTGAGGATCGAACCCAGGCCGCACGCATGCCAGGCAAGCGCGCTACCACTTGAGCCACATCCCCAGCCCTGGGCTGAATTTTATGATTGTCAACTCCTTGGGTCTCTTGAGGAGTTAATGAGTCATTCTACCAATTTTTATTCTATCAAAGAACAATATGTCATTTTTGTTCTTTAGAGAATAGGTAAATTACTTCATAAAGGCTTTAAGTGTCCTTCAAATTCATATCCTTCTTTTTCTTGATAAAAGTTGAAAAGTCATAATCTCTCACCTTCTTTTCTGAATGAGGCCAAGTCTTAAAATTTCCCTAAATGATAGGCCAGAAAAAATATCTTTAATTACTAATTTTTAAAATAGTTTTTTTTACTTGTAGATGGACTCAATACTTTTTATTTTACTTGTTTGTTTATGTATATATTTATTTATTTACTTATTTATTTATTCATTTATTTATTTTTATGTGGTGCTGAGGCAAGCGCTCTACCACTGAGGTACAACCCCAGTCCTTTAATCACTATTCAAATACAAAGTACAGAATCATAATTTCTACTCTCATCCATCCTTCCTATTGAAAGAACAGGATGAATCGATATTGAGAAAAGTATAAAATTACTTGGCCATGCTCTCTGCATTGTAGCTACAAGTTGTATTAGGTTCACAAAAATTTAAAGAAAAACTTTTTATATTTGTGCTCTGTTCATTTCTCAGGTTAAAATAAAAATCATCACGATAGTTTTAAAAAAATCTCTCCCCCTAGAATATGAAGATAAGAAGTCATATTATATTGTTTTCATTCCACTCCTACAAAGAAAAATTCATAATAGCAAAAAGTTTCATAATGTTCTAATGCAGAAAAGAAAACATAAATTGAAAAAAAATGTAGATTCTTTCTTTTTTCTTTTTTCTTTTTTTAATTCAGTACTGGGGACTGAACCCAAGTCATTTCACATGAGCCCTTATCACAGAGCTACCCCCCCCCCCATTCCTTTTAACTTTTGAGACAGGGTCTCACTGAGTAGCCCAGGACGACCTGACTTTTGATCCTCCTCCCTCAACCACCACAGTGGCTGGGATTGCAGGTACACACTAACAAGTCCTTCTGAAGTTCTTAATTTAATCTTGTTCTTTTCCTATTTCTCAGGGGAGAATCAGCTGTTCTGGCCACTTGATGGTACAGAGTTTGCCCATTCGAAGTCGGCTAACCCCTGCCGGCCAGTCTCACAGGTAATGATAGGAAGAATCCACCTTCTGTGGGCTCCTCCCATATGCCTACCCTCCACAAAGAGCACCAAAGTTGTTGGGTCTACATATTGTTACTTAAAGGTAGCCTTCCACCAGCAGCACCAGCACCACTTTCGAGTTTGTTGCAAATGTAGAAGTTCAAGCCCATCCCAGATTACCGAATCAGAATCTGCGTTTTAACAACATGCCATGTGATTCACAAGCACATTAACATTTGAGAAATACTGATCTTTGGTACATTTTAATGGTTAAAAATTTGTAACCATCAGTAGCACCTGTGTACATAAGATATAAATTAGATCCTTTGAATTGAGTCACTATCTTCTCTTTAATAAAACAGGAGCCTTTAATGATTATATAGAGAGAGAGCAATTATTTTTGCTGTCTCCACTACAGCAATTAGCTTTTTATCCTCTCTGATTTTACTAGCCACTAAGAAGAAAGAGCGTGGCTTGAGTCTTATGGTGCCACAAAGTCTTAGCAAAGCATTCCATAGTTGCTGACACATATGAATTAAATGTGACTTACCAAAGGAATAAAAATAGCAACCCATGTTTCAGATACAGTATTTCACCAGCCTTGCAACTATACCTTCTTCTTTTTTTAAGAACAGCTGTTACTGTTGGTCAGTCTTACCCAGTTTAAGTTCATGGACATCTTTAATGGTCTGCCATAATTTATAACCAGGTTAAACTTTATTACTCAAAGCTATAGAGATTGAAGTTGCCTTGTTCTGGATAATAAGCAGGACTTCTCTTTTGGTCTCTCTTTTGAGGTTCAGATTGAATACTGATTTATTTGTTTATTTTGATGTCTTTTGAACAACTGGTCAAACCCATAGCAAGAAAGCTGAGCCACTTAACCCAGAATGACTTCAGAGAGAAAAAGCTAAAGCCTGTTTATTTGATTACAGATCTCCCAAGATAATCCTACAGTTTATGACATGCTTACCACTTTGCTTTCTTTTTCTTTTTAATTAACTCCACATTATTATTATTATTATTATTATTATTATTATTATTAATTTTCTGCCCTAGAAGGCTTTTTCCCCTCCCCACCCCAAAAAAAGAAAGAAAGAAAAAAAAAAATGCTGCTGCTGTCTTTATAGTCCTATAGCCATGCCAAAATACCTGTTGCTATGAGTTTGTAAAATGGCTTCTATGTTTGAAACCTGAACATACTTGTTCTAGGGGAAGGTCCCGAGTGCAAGAAAGAGACAAAGAGCCTCTACAGGAACGCTTTTTCCGACCACATTTTCTGCAGGCTCCTGGGGATATGGTAGCTCACGAGGGGCGCCTCTGTCGGCTGGACTGTAAGGTAGATTCTTAGCATTTGTCCTTAGTTCCAGATCTGCTCAGATTTTGCATTTGATTGTTTGCTTGCATTTATATTTTTGTTTGTATTTGTTTTGTTGGAGCTGTGGTTTCCAAAGAAGGAATTCCTGGCAAAGGGATAGATCATTTTCTCCATAGGCTTTTTGGAAAATTTAATACCAGACAAAATTTAATTATTTCATGAAATTTTTAAGTTGTTATATTTTTTGGCATTGTATCAAGTTAATTGCATTTTTAAAATACAACCAAGGAGGTGATATAATTTGAACATTTCCTTCCACGTAGTGCCTGAAAAGTTTTTATTTCTGTGTGATTTTTTTTTCTTTGTATCCTTGAAGTGATTATTATGAGGTATAGCCTTTGAAAAAATTATAGTCATGAAACAATGGTTATGAGGCAGTTTATGAGAGCAGAACATGGTTTCTCATACTAATCAACATCCATCACATTTAGTGAATCTGTATTCTAATTTTTAAATTAAAAACTCGGTGTGAGATGAGCAGGGCAGATACCTCTTAATATGACGAGAAACTTAAGTCGCCACTTCCACCCCAGACAAAATGTGGAATGCTGTGGAAAATTTAGATGCAAATTTGGGAAGGCTTGAGGTTAAGGATTCATTCAGTGATTCTTAGTCTCCCATTGCTGCCTAAATAATATTCAGGTTGACTGTTATTTCCCCCTCACTAAACTCTAAAAACTACCAAGGTCTGGGTCCCCTCCCTAGAGATTCTGGTTTAATATTCCAAGTGGGCACTGGAATTTTTTAAATTTTTTTTTATTTGTACACAATACATTTATTTTGTTTATTTACTTTTATGTGGTGCTGAGGATCGAACCCAGTGCCTCACACATGCTAGGTGAGCACTCTACCGCTGAGCCACAATCCTGGGCACTGGAATTTTTAAACCCTCTCCATCCTCTTATAATTTGCAGCAAAATTTGAGTACCCTGGTTTAGTATCTGACCTTTCTCATATCTAACTCATGCTTATTAAGTTTACAAGCAATATATCTTCTCTGATGTTGATGCTTCAGGTCTGTTTTATCTATAGCTTAATTCTTATTTATTCTAATGTAGAATATAATCAAATAGATTAATCATGACCTAAACTGGGATCAAAATACCACATCATTTAAATTCATGCAGCAATTCACTCAGAACCCTCCCTCTTCTCCCTGTACTGCTCCAGAAGGGTTCTCATCACTCCATGTTTTCTCTCACTGTATACTTGCCAAACAAGGATGAAGAATTCAACCACCAAATAAATCTGCCTGTCATCAGTCTGTCATTTGCCTCAGCTGTCCTGTTGTTTATTAGGTGAGTGGCTTACCGCCCCCAGAGCTGACGTGGCTGCTCAATGGCCAACCTGTGCTACCAGATGCCTCCCACAAGATGCTGGTCAGGGAGACGGGAATCCACTCTCTGCTCATTGACCCACTCACCCAGCGGGATGCGGGGACCTATACGTGTGTGGCTACCAACAAAACTGGGCAGAATTCTTTTAGTCTGGAGCTCACTGTAGTAGGTAAGGTTTGCTGCTGGGACCCCCAGACATAACTCCCTTCAAAATTATTGTGCAAATATGCAGAACCTCTGGCAGAATTCCTTAGCACTTTACTCCGCCAATCTCAGTTTCCCCTTCACTGTAGTTAGGACCATATTTCTAGATTGCTTTCAAAAACAATGTTAATGTTAAAACAGAACACAGAACCTTGTACATATTACACATGCAATAAAGGGAGCATTGTAATTATTCATTGAGCAATCAACAAATTGACTGTCACTACATTCCAGTCATTTGTCCTGCAGTCAATGTATTATTCCTGAAACATACCAGGCTTTTTTTTTAATCTCCCTAAGTTACAGGCCTTTACATCTGTGGTCCCTCTATCTAGAATACCCTTCTTAGCCCAGCAGCTTCTTATTCATTCTCTAAAGACTAACTCAAGTGTCACCACCCTGGCACAGTAGATCCACCAAGCACAACTACTCCTTCCCAGTCCTCCTCTGTATTTCTATGCCAGTAATCTCAGCTACTGGAGGGATAAGACGAAAGGACCACAGATTCAAGCCCAGCCTGGGCAACTTAATGAGACCCTATCTCAAATAAACAAAAATTTAAGAAATAAAAAGGAGGAACTTACAGAGAGCTCATGGCCTTCTGTGTAATTGTTCGTTTCTTTGTGTGAGCTTCTGAAGTCAGAGACTCTGACTTGTTGTGTGTATCTCTAGTATCAGCCTTAGTGCCTAGAATATGGAGGATGTTTGGCAAATTTGAGCTGATAAGAGAACAAACCCTTATCTTATAAGCTAATGTGAACAAAATGTTGTCATGCCTATAGAAGAGGAAAGCAAGACATCATCTACAAGGAGCCACCCCTACAGGGCAGCAGTCCAGCCAGAATTAAGTTTCAGAATTTAGGAATTCTGGAGTTGGGCTTTCTCCTGCTGTCTTGCAGTCTGATGAGCTCACAGTATCTTCAGCACATCATTCCTGTCTGCAGATAAATGCTTATTTATCTTTTTCCATTCCTTACAATGAATTTCCTCTTGCCAACGGAATAGGAAAGACTCATTTTGCAAGGATACATTGATTGCAGATCTTTACCTTTTTCCCCACCATTTTGCTTTAATCTTGACTTTGAAACCCTGACATAAGAGGTTCTGGACAAAAGAAGGACCATTTTAGAAAGTGTAATTTTGTGTATTTTTAAAAACCATATGATTCTGTAGGTATGAGTTTTTTTTTTTTTCAAAACAAAAAGTTGGGGAAAATTGATATATCTCCTACGAAATACATGCCTCCAAAAAAAGGATCAATTTTAGTATATAAAGAATGTTGTTTCTCAAAAGAATATTGTTTCTCAAAAGTTATTATTGCACAATTAAAGAAAATCCTCTAATTTAACCATTCCTAGCATTTGCATCCCAGATCTTCAAGTGTTATCTCACACGGGATGTACAGAGATGGCTGGCCCAATTTTTTTTTAAACATTTATAGAGCTTGATCAAGGCAATGATCCTCACTAAGGGGTCCAAGAAGTGTTCTGAATTTCAGAATGTAGTGTACTTGAGGCATGAACTTCAAAGCACTTACTATTCAAACAAGAAATCTCTTCTCTCATCCAGCAAAAGAAGTGAAGAAAGCACCTGTGATCCTGGAGAAACTGCAAAATAGTGGCGTTCCCGAGGGCCACCCAGTGAGACTGGAGTGCCGCGTGATAGGCATGCCCCCACCCGTGTTTTACTGGAAGAAAGACAATGAGACCATCCCTTCCACCAGAGAGAGGATCAGGTATGGCAGCCACCACCTCCACGGGGACCTGTGCGCTTGGAGCACATGTTGGCCACCTAATAAGATTGTAGCCTTTTGGGTCTTGCTTTTTAGCAATATGCGCTTGAGTTTCATTCACATTATTGTGTATATCAAGAATTTATTCCTTTTGTTGTTGTTGTTGTATGTTGTATGGTTGTCTCAGAGGTTAAAAACTTTAATTTTTAAGTTTAAAATTATACAATAAATTTATGAAGGTTTTACATATGATTAAATATTTATGGCTTCTACATCCCGCCTTCTCATTGATGTGTCTCTGCTGGTAGCTTTTCTTCCTTGAGTACTCTCTTCTGTGTCTTCCTCCAACTACAGTCTGCCTCCCCAGTGTCTGTGATCCCTCAGGCTCAGCTCAAAATCGTGACTTCCAGTGCTCCTGCTTCCTCCCCTCCCCAGTCCAGGACTGGGTCTGTATTCTGTGGTCCAGATCTGAGCCCGTTTTCTGCCACACGCTGTTGCACACGGCCATTATTGTTAGTGTTATTGATTTCAACCTGTGTCACCTCGACTAGACTGTGAGCATCTGAGCTTAGGGACACCATCTCCTTTGTCTTTGTATGTCCTGACTCCTCACGACACCAAGCACCATGCCTTTTACTGGTAGAAATTTATACAGAACAAATGAACAAATGCATGCATTTCCTCTGTGATCACCTCAACTCACTAAACTGAAGCAACAGCATTCTAATATGTCTCTGACACCAGGAACAAGCCTTAATCAGTTCTCCTCCTCACACTGTTAGAATGATCTTTTACAAATGCAAACTGATCACACCACCTGCAATTTAAGATGTGTCAAGGTTTCTTATCACCCGAAAGGAAGAATCCCAACCCTTTACCATGTACATGTGGCTCTCTCTCCTGCCTTGCCCCTAGTCCTTCCACCGCTAGTCCCCATGTACTCTCCACTCCTGGCCATAATGAACATGCCACCCACTCTCCTACACCATCATGTCTTTGCTCAAGCTGTTCCACTACCTGGAACAGCCTCATCCCCAACCTCAACCTTTTTTTTTTTTTTTTGGTACTGGCTATTGAACCCAGGGGCATAACCACTGCGCCACAAGGCATTTTTGTGTTTTATTTAGAGACAGGGTCTCACTGAGTTGCTCACGGCCTCACTAAGTTGCTGAGGCTGGCTTTGAACTTGAGATCCTCCTGCCTCAGCCTCCCATGCTGCTGGAACAAACTCAACCTTTTAGAAAGGCTCTAGCACATCTTTTGGGAAGCTTTCTCACAAATTAATCGAGTATGTTATATTATAGTACTTACAAAGTAAATTTTTAAAGTAATTTCTTTTTATTCATCATTGGTCTTTGTGCAGTGTTCATTTTTCTGTAACTTAATCTTACATATGCTTGTGCTTCTAAACATCTTCACACCTTCTCCTTAGTGCCAGGGACTTCCCCAAATAACCTTCCCTCTACGTTCCCAAAGCACCTTTCCTGCGTCATTTCTCTATAGTGTGTTGCATTCTATTTATTGCTACTTTTACTTATTTAATTCCTATTTTTTCTTTCCTACTAAGCTTAGGGACTCTTTTAGAGAAAGAATTTTTGTCATTTTCATCTTTACACCCTCAGCACCAAGGCAGCCCATCCAGGATTGTGCCCAACAGAATATTCTTTTTTTTTTTTTTTTTTTTTTTTGGTACTGGGTATTGAACCCAGGGGCACTCAACCACTGAGCCACATCCCAGACCTTTTAGTATTTTATTTAGAGACAGGGTCTCTCTAAGTTGCTTAGAGATCACTAAAATTGCTCAGGCTGGCTTTGAACTTGTGATCCTCCTACCTCAAGCTCCTGAGCCACTGGGATTACAGGCATGAGCCACCTGGCCCTGCCCAACAGAGTATTCAACAAGAGTTTAGTAAAGAAATATTTCAAAGAATGAATTCATTAATCAGAAAGTGAAAGTAGCCAACATAATAAGGTGGTGAAATTGTGATGGGTATTTTTTTACTTTTGTTATACTTGTTATGACTTTATTTAGTCTTATTGTTTTACAAATAATAAATAGCTTTCAACCAAAGGGACACACTTGTTTATTCTTTGAACTCAAGAAGTTATTGGTATTATCTCTGCCCGGTAAATGAGCTGTGGCAGTCTCCGAAGGGATCTTGGAACAGGGTATGAAAGAGGCCAGAACAACAAGGGGTAAAAGGGCCATGTAGCCACATGGTTGGTTCTCCATCCTTGGCCGCAGATCAAAATCACCTGGGGAATTTCCTAAAAATCCTAATGCTTGGGTCCCAGCCTGAGGTTCTGATGTAATTCTCTGAGGTGTGGCCTGAGATTCTAATGTGCAGCCAAGGTTGAAAACCACTGATGTACAGAAAACAGAAGGAAAAAGCAGGCTGATTTCCTCAATCACATTAAGCTAAATTCTGCATGCATCCAGCTGGTCACATTAGGAAATGCCATCTCCAGGCTGTAGATACATTTGCCCCTGGGATCTTATTTTGATTTGCTTTCCCACAGCTTCTTAACAAAGTTGTCACTGAAATTTCCAATCTTATTTAGAAAAGAGATCATTCTGTACTTTGGTTGTGAAAAGCAGGGTTCCCCCTGATAAGGAGTAAAACTTTGGTGGAGTTGGAGCAATGGAATATACAGACACTGGTCACAGCATCTTGGATGGCTATCACCTTCTTCTTAGCATTATAAGGTTCATTGCTGATCTTTTGTAGCTTCTTTTAACCTTCAGATTTGCTTTGTGCTTGTCTTCAACAGAATTTCCTTTTTTTTTTCCCTTTAGAGAGTGAGTTTTCCTAAATTTGACAGAGATGCTTCTGCTCCTACTTAAAATATGGGTATGTTCTTTCTCTTCTCCAGCATGCACCAGGACACAACAGGATATGTCTGCCTCCTCATTCAGCCAGCCAAGAAATCAGATGCTGGATGGTACACACTGTCAGCCAAAAATGAAGCTGGCATAGTGTCGTGCACTGCTAGGTTGGATATATACGGTAAGTATAATGTCATCCATCGGTTGAACATCTGTGCATTTCAGGCAGCTTTAAGATCATTTTTTTTTAGGATTAGTAAGTGTCCATAAAAGAATTAGGTAGATTTTAGTGCTTACGAGATGGATTTTTAAAGTCATCTGGTCCTAGGTACCTCAGGGCTTTTGTACACTTCTGTGTTTTGCCTTGAGCTTAACCTTCTTCCAAAAGAGGAATTCTGATCCTAGGAAGTCTTCAGCTAGCCCACAATGTGCACCTACCTGAGGTGTGACCTGAGATTCTAATGTTCAGCCAAGCATTCTTAGCCATCCAGTGTCTTCATGCTGTCTCCCTCTGCAGTGGGTCACCCACAGGAACTCCCTACTACCGTGATCACCCAGAAGAATTTTCTAGATGCCATCATTCATTTATTTATGCATTCAACTAATGTGTATTATTCCAATCCCCCAATCAGAGTTCCCTATTAAGTGGAAGTAAATTAATAATATTAAACTTAAGTGACATTTGAATAGTAACATAATTAATGAAAGTGGTATCGTTGGTCCTCCCAGGCCCATGAAATTATTATAATTGTTGTTATCCTCATTTAAATGCTGAGAAAATGGAGACTCAAGAGAGTTTAACGACTACAGCTAAGAAACAAACCCAAGTCTTTGTTATCATTCCTTTGACCCATGTTTCTCATTTTCAAAGGATCTAAGAAATTAATCTTTATTAACGTTTTTGTGTGCTCTATTCCTCTTCCGTAAACTCTTTGACATTAACTGGTATGTTTTAGAGTCATGGTCTTTAATCGAAAAGAGTGCTTCTTTTTTCTTTTTCCTTTTTTTTTTGTTTAAATAATTGGTTAAACCAATAAATTTCACATTCATAACTTGTTTAACATGATTAATCAGAATAACAACAGCAATTCTATTTAGAACCCAAGAGCCCTGCTGTTTACAGGTGAACAACAGGTATCCCGTTTATTTAGTACCATGCAGAAAGGGGTTTGGCCTGCCATTTTCCCTAGGTCTCATTTTTAGAGGAAAGATATAGATCTGTATTATTTTTCCTGACTTGAAAAGAAAATCAATTGTGGCCAGGCTCAGTGGCACATACCTGAAATCCCAGCGGTTTGGGACGCTGAGGCAAGAGGATCATGAGTTCAAAGCCAGTCTCAGCAAAAGCAAGACACTGAGCAACTCAATGAGACCCTGTCTCTAAATAAAATACAAAATAGGGCTGGGGATGTGGCTCAGTGGTCGAGTGCCCCTGAGTTCAATACGCGGTACTTGCCCCTCATCTCATCAAAAAAAAAAAAGGAAAGGGGAAAGAAAATCAATTGTGAAGGAAGCTAAAAACGTCCAAGGAGAAAGATGCCAATGATAGGTTTCTTGGTCTAGGCGTCTCCTCCAGGTCTGAAGGCAATAGGTCTCCAACTGGTAAACCCTGAAATGGATGACTTAAATCAACACTGCCCTCCAGTGGCTGAGTTCCCAGCTAGCCTCTTTCCTGTCCTTCACGGCACTAACAATAGGAGGTGCTGTTGGGTCTGTTGGGATCTGGGGTGGGGAAGATGATGGAGGCCTTAGCCTAGAATAAGTTCACTGTCACCACCTCCTCTACCACCACCACCACCACACTTCTAAGAAATGGAATAGTAAGGCTCCACTCTCAAGTGCCGCTGGGGTATAGCTCAGTGGTAGAGTACACGCCTAGTATGTCTAAGGCCCTGAGTTCAATCCCCAGCACCAGAAATAATTCCTAAAATTAGGAATTACTGTCCAGTTAATATGCCAGAGTTATCAGGGTAAGGATAAGAGATGGTCTTAAAGTGGAATTGCTGTAAATTTTGCCTTCAGTGTTATGGCTTCACAAATTTGATTCTCTCCACTCACTCAGAGGAATTTAAAACTGAAAAACTGATTACAGATAATGAAATCAACAAAGGACCAATTTATAAATCAGAATGCTAAACAGGAGCACAGCTTCCTAAGACCTAGAGCCCCAGTGTTCCCCACCTAGTATACCCCCTTCTCCATATCAAGGTACCCAGAAACTTATCAGGAGATTGCTTGGTAATTTTTTTTCTTTTTGATACTAGGGATTAAACTCAAGGCCACTTGACCACTGAGCCTCATCCCTAGCTTTTTTCTTTTTAAAAAAAATTTTTTTTAGTTGAAGATGGACACAATACCTTTATTTTTATTTATTTATTTTTATGTGATGCTGAGGATTGAACCCAGTGCCTCACATATGCTAGGCAAGTACTCTACCACTGAGCTACAACCCCAGCCCATCCCCAGCCCTTTTTTATTTTAAGACAGGGTCTCACTAAATTGCTGAGGCTGGTCTTGAACTTGCAATCCTCCTGCCTCAGCCTCCTGAGCTGCTGAGAATACAGGCATGTATCACTGTGCCCAGCACTTGGTAATTTCTGAATCAGAGATGATAACAGAGACTGCACAGTGGGGATAGGTATTTTATTCAGGCCATGTTCAAGCCTAAGGATGGAGTCTGCTAAAAACAAGGTCTCCTTTGAATAGCACCTGGTGAATATGGAAACTCAAATCAATTCTCTTTTGTCCATGAACTATGCTTGATTGCATATAAACTACTTTTTAGTCTTCTTGCTTTAACTCATTGAACCTGATTAGGGTTCTGGGTAGGTAGATAGGTAATGGCTGTTTAGGGTGGTTAGGGTGTAGGATGGGTACTTCCCACAGGGGTTGAACCCATCTTTTGGCTTCTATGGCCACAGTTTCTTGCCTCTACCTCATGAGGTGCCCTCCTCTGTGAGCCTACAATCCCCTGTACACAGTCGCCAGCAGACCCCACGCCTTGTCAGTGAGAGGGGATAATTTTGAGAAATCACCATAGTCATCCACTCTTCCTTCTTACAGGAATTCTAACCTCTTACTGAGTGAGAATCACAGGCTGTAGAATTAGAGCCTTAAGAGATCACCAGATCAATTTCCCTGTTCATGGCAGGGAATGTTTTATTGCTCTCTTTTACAAATAAGATCATTCAGATCTAGATATCCTTAAATGCTTTACCAAGAATTCAAAGGGAGCATTGGAGTGAGGACAGAACGCACCTCTGTGGGGTACCTGCCAGACTGTATGCCCTTGATCATAACACATTATTTGCTCAATTTTCCAGCTCAGTGGCACCAGCAGATCCCAGCACCCATGTCTATCCGGCCCAGTGGCAGTCGCTACGGATCTCTCACCAGTAAAGGACTTGACATTTTTTCTGCCTTTTCCTCCATGGAAAGCACAATGGTGTATTCATGCTCTTCTCGGAGTGTAGTGGAAAGTGATGAACTTTAAGGATGTCTGGGTGCCTGCTGTGTAAGGGGGCAGACTGTGGAGGGGGAAGTAAGGGCCAGTCACAGCAGTTTCTAAGCATCAGGATTTGAGTGAGTACCCATGCTGTTGGACCTGGTAAGAAGTGCTTTGAATAAGTTGGCTGGGGACTCTTGCAGTCTCAGATGAGGGGGTCGGGGGAGCTGTGGGGCTATGCCTTTTAAAGATTCCAGCAAAAAAGTGAGCAATAGAGATGAACCAAAGATGTCATACTGCAGCCATCTACTACTTTGGGGAAAGGCTAGCATGCTCCCTGTCCCCATTATGTTAGGAATGTTTAAGTCCTACTAGGAGAAATTAGGGGCCATATGCCTGGGCTGAGAGGAGTTACACAGTAGTGACCTTAGAATATAACTAATTCATCCAGCAATCAAAAAAGTGGGGAAGTTGCTGTCACCTTTCATTAGTTACATTCATAGCAGTCGTTTTGATGAACTCATTAAATCACTTAGCATTAGGAGATCATATCATACAAATCTCACATGTGGTGAAACACTTTTGATTTGCATATCCTGGGTGTACATGAGCCATATAATAAGGTGCCAAAAGGTGCTTGAGACATGAAAAAAAAATTCACCTGAACACTCAGTGTTGCACTGTGCATTTATTCTGTGGCCAAAACAGGAACCCACAAGCCTGCCTGCACCATTTGGTTTGAAATGGTGATTGATTTTTCTTCTTTCTGACTTTGCATCTCTAGACTCTGAAACTAAAAGGTTGTTAATAAACCAATCAAGGGGGAAAAAAAGTCTTCTGCAGGGTCACTTTAAAAACTACAAGCTTTAGTTACCACTTGCAAAATGTGCAAGAGTCATCTTCATCATTTGCTTGTAAAATAGCACACAGTATGTTCCTACTCCCTCCCAAAAGTCTGGAAGTGTCGAAGGCAATAAGGAAGAAAGAGATGCAGACAAGAAAAGAAGTGTTGGGAGAGTGCTGGCTTTCCATTTACAGTAGCCGAGACGTGGTTGTGGAAAGAGAGATCTTTAATAGCTGTGAGCTGCTTTGAGATCGTTGATCAAATGGCATTTTCTACATAGAAAATATTACACTAACCAGGAAAGTGGAGGGAAAGGGGAATTTGCATCTTTATTCTAATCCACCTATTCAAAATTTGCCTCTCAATTTAAGGAATTTTTAGACTTAAGATCCCAGTGATATCCCTAGTGCCTAGAAAAGTACCTAGCCCAAAGTAGACATGCAACAAATACTTGCTGGATGAGTAAATCTGTTAGACACAGGAGTCTACAATCTACAGCAGTCCAAAAACTGCCCAAGGAATGGTCATCACAGCACATTTTCCACTGATTCCCTTTGCTCAAATCTCTGGTGTTCTCTATGTCAGGCCCCCTCTGCGGGCATCTTATTTAAGTGAGTTAGAGATAGTAATTGCTTAGAAAGGCTTGAAACTTTCTTTGCTCCAAGGCAAGAAATTTCCAGAATAAAAATAAATTCATTCACTCAAAAAAATCCTTTGTGTGTCTACTCTATATAAGATACCATGGTAGATACTGTGGGAGATGCAAACAAATGAATAAGACAGTCCTGCCCTCAGAGACCCTGTGATCTAGTAGGAGGGGCAATGTTTAAGGCATGTGCAATGGATGTTTCCTGAGGCAAAGATCTATTCTTTAGCAAACAAAAGTTTCTAGTTCTCTTCATCCTATTTTTTCACAACTTTTAAAATCTCTTATTTTTCAGTCTCGATTTCTTAATTTTAAAAATGCCATAAGCTGCATCTGTAAGAAATGAAGATTTCAGTCAACTATGTTCAGCAGAACTATTAGGTTTTTGTTTCCTTTTTTATTTATGCAGTAATAGTAGTAAAATATAGGCAACTTTAATGGAATAGAATGCATCTTGTATATCCTATAAAATGTTTCTGTATTGGCTTCTATTATGAAATACCATAACCAAGAAGTACTTTCTGATTCAGAGATTGCTTCTAGATTGTACACCTGATATCCTTATTGCATACACCTTTGTAAGCCCTAGACATTCTCCCATGGGGGGCAGATATTCATCTCTATATGTCTTAGCTTTCTGAATTATTTATTAACCCGTCTCCTTTGATTGTGTTCAAGAGAACTAGGATAAGTCTCGTAATTGGCCACTAGGTGGCGCTGCCTCACTCAAAATATAACGAACCTAAAAATTCCTGAAATTTGAACTATTGAATTATATTAAATTAGGCTTTCTCAACCTGGGTAGTATTGACCTTGGGGGCCTGATAATTCGTTGTGGAGGGGGACTGAGTGTGGATTGGAGGATACTTAGTAGCATCCCTAACTTCTATCCTAGGTGCCTTAGCAACCCCAACCGGCTCTGTTTTTGTTGAGAACCAGTGTGCTGAACACATCAGTGCCCTGCTTTCATAATTCTATCAGAATTCAATGACAATGCAAGTGTTTGCTTTCACAACATAACCAAAATCAGATTCATTATCTTCCCTTTCATAAACCATTCCTCAACCAAACTTAATGATTTCTAGTCCTAATGGCACCATCACGTTCCTCACAATCAGAATAAGAAACATTCAAGTTTTTTTCTTACTTTTTCCAATCAAGCAAGAAATTCTATTCATCCTAATTTATTATTCCTCTTATTTTCAGGCTTTCCTTTCCATTCCCCTACAGTCACCCAGTTCCAACTTTCATTACTATCTTAATTTCCCTCAATATTTCTTGGCTCTAATACTGTGACTTCTTCCTACTCAAATCCAACCCAGACCCCAACATCACCTCATTCTCCCCAAAGTCCTGCTCTACTGACATTATTCCCTAATTTTCAAATCCCCAGTGGCTACCTGGAGCCAACTCAGGTAGGTACCAGCTGTTCTGTTTCGGGGTATTCAAGCTTACCCCATCACCACTCAGAAAAAACACACAGCACTGTGGCAACACCACAAAAGCCCTTGCCTTCCATCCACATGCCTCTCTCCGACCTTTACCTGGAGGCTGTCTCCACCTCTGGAAATCCTACCTGATCCTATAAAGTTCATCCGAAATGCCACTTCCTCTGTGAAATATTTTCTGATTCCCCATGCCCCAATCAAACAGAATAATTTCTTTGAAAATTTCATGGGTCCGGAGGAAGAGATTACTTTTTACAGTGTTTTCTACAGAGCATAGACTCTAGACACCTGCTGCTCTCTCCCCTGACCCTAGCCCACTCTTGTTTGCTTGTGCTAGATTGTAGTTACTCATTGATATGGACTGTGTCAGAAGTTTGCCTTTGTGCCTTATATGGAGTAGGCACTCGATAAATGTTGACTGACCTAAATCAAATTTAAAATTCAATGAAAGTCAGTATGTTTCTACATATAGTGATTTACGCAGTGATTTTAACCATGGCTGCACAATTAGAATCTCCTGTTGTGCTTTTAAAAAATCCCCACACTCCAATTTATTAAGTCATAAGCTCTGGGATTGTGACACAATCTCAGTTTATAAAGCTAATCAATCCCAGTTGATTCCAATGAGCAGTCAAGGTTGAGGAGCATCATCTTATTCCCATGATTTAGTCTCAGAAACACCCAAAGAAATATAGATAGCATAAAGTTATAGGATTGATATTCGTGCAGAATATACTGTGCCCTGGTTGCACATGCAGTGTGTGCCTGGAACATAGAAATAAGTACATATGTTGGGTGTGGAGCTGCATGGCTGGAATCCTAACAGCTTGGGAGGCTGAGGCAGGAGGATCTCAAGTTCGAAGCCAGCCTCAGCAACTTAGCAACTCAGCAAGACCCTGACTCTAAATGAAATATAAAAAGGGCTGGGGAAATGGCTCAGTGGTTAAGGCCCCCTGGATTTAATCCCTGGTACCTCCCCTCCAAAAAAGTTCATCATATTAGACCCTAATATTTTGTGCTTCCCTCATTAGACATGCAGCACTCATGAAGCCCTCAGAGGAAGTTCAAAATTAGGCCAGGGAAAAAGGGAAAGTTGGGGCAATTTCACCTAGCCATTTGTTTCAAAATGCCACACAATTCCATATGCACCTTTCTCTGCAAGCAACTGAAGAGCTCTTTATTCCTTGGTTAGTCATGGAAATGGGAATCAAAGGGAAATAGAAAAAGAATCAGAATTCCAAATAGTGAAATTGGTTTAAATGCATCCTTCTCTTTTTATCCTTCACTTAACTTTTGTAGGCATCCAGGGAGAAATGAAATAGTCAAGAGACAAGTAGTGGGTAAACCTAGGGCTCTGGATGACACATACCATTCCCAGAGAAGTCAAAAGTCAACTCTTGGCCAGGTGTGGTGGTGCACTCCTGTAATCTCTGTGGCTCTCGAGGCTGAGACAAGAAAATTGCAAGTTCAAAGAGCTAGCTTAAACTAAGTGAGATCCTGTCTCTAAGTAAAATACAAAATAGGTCTGGGGATGTGGCTCAGTGGCTGAGCGCCCCTGAGTTCAGTCCTCAGTACCAAAAAAAAAAAAAAAAAAGACAACTTTTGTAGGGACAGTTCCATTTAGATAATCCTCAAACAATTAGTAGGTTGCCCTCCAAATATTTACTTGAATTTTGGTTGTTCAAAACTCATATTTCCCTACATACATATCACCCAGTGCTAGATTTCCAAGTGAATCCAGAAAAGTCCATTCATGACTGAATTATAATAACATGACTGAATCTATAATAATAGATTTGGTTTATGCACCCAAGCACTGAGATCCAGGCAAAGCAGCCAGTAAGAGAAAAAAGACTTTTTCCTTCTTTTTAGTGTCTGTGATGTGTCAAAACTAAAGAGTGTTCATGGTCCTTTCTGCATCTAGCCCTCATTCTGTGTTTTCCTCCCCAGGGCCCTTGTACCTCTCATTCTATGATCCCTGCTGCTATAACCATCCCCTCACTCCTTGCCAAAGTCTGCCAGCGTATTTGCTGCTCCACAATGACCTAAGTCCAGCTCCATGTATCTAGCTAGGTCTGGTGTTTGGAAAAAAAAAGTCATCCAACTAAATAGGTTCTGGAATGCTTGAGAGTCTTTTACTTGACAGAGGTGCTGCATTTTTTGAAGAAGTTATTTTCTCACTCCCATGAACTTTTAATAGAAATTAATAGAATTGCTGGCAGAGCTTTTAAAGAATCAGGCTGTAAGGGGAGAGATAGGAAACGAAGTCAGATCCTAAATTGTTCTTGCTAATGACAGTCTCTTCCCATCTCCCTTTTCCCACACATCCTCCCAAAGTATCTCCCAAGCTGGGATCTTCAGTCTGTTTACATATGGGCTTTTTATAAGTTGGTGGCAAACAAAGCTGCCAGGAGAAATAGCATAAGTAAATATAGTCCTAATGGCCTTTTTTTAAGGTCCCTTGCAGGGTACTTGGGTAACCGGAACTTAAAAGTATTTCCAAGAATGATTGAGCTGAAAATCAATGTGCCTTACCAGTAAGATGAACCGTTACCTAGATTTTGATAGAGCTTGTTGAAGTAATTCCCACCACTAATGGCCTTTTCTTGTTTTAAGTGGATTAATATTTAAAGAGTTAATTACTAAGGCACTGTTTGAAGAATGCCAAGCATTTTTTAAACTTTGATGATGCAATAGTCATCAGTATACTTTAAAAGTTGCTAATATCGTGTTTTTAAAAAATCTGTGTAGTGCAAAAAAAATTGCATATTGGTTAAAAATATGTGCACCTCTTATTTCTGTCTAATTATATTAGTTAGCACACTTAGTATTACAGAACCATGAACAAGCTGCTTTTTTTAATGTGTAAATAATAACCACTTCAAACTCCGAAGAGCAATAGCCTTGAAATTGCAAGAAATAGAGAAAGACCACACTTTCCAATCCTCTGAGAATTGTGCCATAACTACCGAGAGTAAGCAAAAAAAAAAAAAAAAAGCCTCCTGTGTAAGAGGCATATAAACACTAATTTGCTAGAAGATTTTAACATAGAAAATGTTTCCCTAATAAGAAAAATTAAAATACCTCAATATTATTGAATGATAAATATATTAAGGCTGAAATGAATGGACATTTTTCTTTAAAATGTAGGAAATAGTTCTAGTTTACAGATTACTTTTCAACAATAACTAAACCAATTTTTGAGTGTACAGATTTATTTGGCAGGAAAGCGATTTTTTCTCTTAATTATCCCTATCAAAATATATAAATTACTACATGAGTTATAACCTCTAACAACTCTACAGTAAAAGAAAGATAATGTTGTTTTGGTCTTCCTAAAATATTAAGCACATGAAGAAGACATCTCATAGAATGTTACTCAATTCTCTAAGATAAACATTCATTCTTAAATGCTTTCTAATTGAAACAGAAACACAAAAAAAAAATGGGATTTAAAGATGGGGATAGTTTGACCAGTTTAGACTGGAAATGGAGACATGTGTATAGTTGTATTACAATAAAAAGTGTTTGATAACTACAAGAAACATACATTGTCTTCATATTTGAAGATAATGTTATGATGATTAGAATGATAAAAGCCAATTTCTCAATATTCAGAAAATTTCAAAGAACTTGATGTTTCTACAGAGATTCAATGAGTTATCTGGAAACAAAAGACAGATTCTGGTAATTTTGCCACAATTCGGGTGGAAGAATCTGGTGAACTAAGTATTCACATTGGCTAAGTAGTCACTACAAAAGATCACTGAATGTGTATGTGTACACGGTATGGGAGGTTTTGCTGTATATTTTAAGGAGAGTAAAAATCCTGAACGTATTCAAATGAAAAAACTTCTAGTGCAATGGTATTTTTTAACACATTGGTAAATTAAGTTTGATCCTTTCAGCATTTTGGCTTCAGAAATACCTTATCCTTTATCCTTCTTTCTGCTTAATTTTCACTTATTTATTTTTTTTTACAAACTTTGGCCTTGCTTCTTTGATCAAAGATTCTCCCTTCATTTCTTCCCTGTAGAGATAAAAATTTGCATAATAGGAGCTCCTTATTTCTAAGAATTCTTAGGTGAATTTTAAGGGGAACTTTCATAATTCGAATGAATTTCAGATCCATTCCCTAATTTTACTATAACTTTGGGTCTCTGTTTCTTTAACTGTAAGGTAAGCCAAACACTTGAGCCTTTCCCAGGATGGCAGGTAGGATAAGTAAATACTTATGAAGGGTTTACTTTAGAGACCCTCCAATAAAAAGGGGTACCAGTGTTTTGTTTTTGTTTGTTTGGTGGGGTGCCCCTTCACTGAACCTCATCCCCAATCCTATTTTTTTAAACATTCATTTTTTAGTTGTAGGTGGACATAATATCTTTATTTTATCTTTATGTCGTGCTGAGGTTTAGAACCTAATGCCTCATGTGTGCTAGGCAAGCACTCTACCACTGAGCCACAACCCCAGCCCTATTTTGTATTTTATTTAGAGACAGGGTCTCACTGAGTTGCTTAGTGCCTCGATTTTGCAGAGGCTGGCTTTGAACTCTAAATCCTCCTGCCTCAGCCTCCCAAACCACTGGGATTACAGGTGTGTGCCACCCCACCTTGTGGTAGCAGGTTTTTTTATTCCAAGGAAAATGTTAAAAATATTTTTCTCAGCCAGGCTAATTAGAGTACACCTGTAATCCCAGGCTGAGGGAGGAGGATCTCAAGTTTGAGGCCAGGCTGGGCAATTTAGTGAGATCCTGTCAAAAAAAAAAAAATCCAAAGTAAATAGTTGATCTGTTTTTAAAATTCACATTTCTTTCCTGCCTGCCCCTCAACAACTTTGCTTTTCCTTAGAAGAGTAACACAAAATTGTGGACTTTCTTCTTCCAAGGTGGTATGTAGTATAAAAATTAAAATAATAATAATAAATTTTAAAAATAGGTGCTGAGGTAGTGGCTCAGTGATAGAGCCTGTGCTTCGCATGCTCAAGGCCCTGGGTTCAATCTCCAGCAACAAAATAAAGAAATAAATCTGGAGGCAGATCCAATGAATTTAAGAAATATCCTATCTGCTTTTTGCAAACAGATTCTAGGAGATTTTGTGTGTGTGTGTGTGTGTGTGTACACCAGGGATTGAACCCAGGGGTACTTAACCTCTGAGCCTCCTCCCCAGCCCTTTTTATTTTTTATTTTGAGACAGGGTCTCATTAAGTTGCTCAAGGCCTCACTAAGTTGCTGAGGCTGGCTTTGAACTTGTGATCTTCCTGCCTCAGCCTCCAGAGATTACATTGGGATTACACCATGTGCTACCGTGCCTGACTTCCAGGAGAATTTATTTGAGCTAGGCAGAATGGCCTAGAAGAATGCCCACTCCTGCTTCTGTGATTGAAACAAGTAGAAATGGTGATTCCACAGGCAGAGCTATAGTGAAGGAGATACCACAGTCCCTTCTGGTTTAAGCAGCACAGGACTACTCCATAATACTGTTCCAAATCCTAACCTTCATGCTAACGTTCCATGCCAGCCTGTCAGTGACTTAATTCTGAAATGAACTGACTTTAGAAAAACAGGTCGATTTGAACCCTCCAAAATGAGCATACCTTTTGGTCTCTGCTTTTGCATTCTCAGCTATATTAATACAAACCCATAAAAACTGACAAATGGCATATGTGTACATGCACACCCACACACAAATACACATTTCAAGTGAGGAGCCTTGTAGCACCCACAGCCGACTTAATTCAATCAGAATCAGTGACACCTCTTACCACTTTTGCTTTCTCTCCTTGCCTAAGTTCTTTCCACTTGAAGACACACCAGGCCCTCCAAGGCTCAGAAATATGGTATGCTTCCTTCCCAGGAAGCTTGAGTCAACTTATTTTCTAAAGTACTTTTTTGGTTATTGAATTCTTAATGGAAAAGCAACTCTGGTAGCAATTTTGAAAGGTGTGGATTGTATAAGCTGTATATTTCGCCACTATTACTAGTAATGAATCAACCTAGGCTTTTATTCTTATTCCTCTGCATCACGCATGTTATGACATTCTGTGGAACTGAAAAATCAGCGATCGTTTAAGCCAACATGTTTGTGAGCACAAGTCGTGACCTTCCTCAGAAGGTATATGGTACTGTATTCTGGTAGACCACGTCATTTCTGTGACACCTGTTGCTTCCCCTCACCATGCTTTCTTGAAGATTTGCTGGGGTTGTGTCGTCTTAGGAAATGTTGCAATTAGAAGAAAAATAAAAAATCATATTTAATTTAATCTTGATGTTTTAAAGGCAATTTAGAGGATGTGATGGACTGTTTCTTTATTCATTAAATAAAATTTTATTTATTATCAATTGTTGGGTGGTTTGTTTTTAGTCTTCAACTTAGGGTTCTTTGTTCTGTCATCAGATGGTCAGCCAGGTGTGGCCACAAAAGGAGGCACAGGAATTACCCGATGTGCATATATGATTACATGACCCGTGTAACTCCACAACATGTACAACCAGAAGAATGAGAAGTTATACTCCATTTATGTATGATATGTGAGAATGCATTCTACTGTCATGCATAACTAATTAGAACAAATTAAAAAATAATTACGGGGGGGAAGGAGGTATAGGAGAGGCTGAGGAAAACAAAGTTTATTATACCACATAGCCTTTTTTTTTTTAATGATGTTGGGGGTTAACCCAGGACCTTCGGCTTGCTGAGTAAGTGCTCTACCACTAAGTGACATCGCCAGCCCCACGTGGTCTTTACTGGAGTTTCTGCGAGAAAGGCAAGACAGGGCTAGAGTGAATAGTTTGAATAATTGTTTAGGACTCTAAGCTATAGGAGAGGTCCCTAGATGCCCAGTACCTGGCCCTCAGATAATTAAGGCAATACAATAGTGGCAGATGGAAAGGTTTGGCTCTGTTTTGGTTAGTCTGTCCACATCAAAGGCACATCTTGAGCCCTTTCTGTCCCTTAGCATTGCCTAGCCCTGAGACAGACAGTCTTTCTCCGATCAAAAAAGTTTTTAAGATGTTAGAATTTCATAATATACAAAAAAAAAATTGAACGTAAACAAGTATACTTAGTATAAGAGATGGGTAAGTTCTTTCTCCCCACTCAGAACTACTCCATAATATTGTTCCAAATCCTAGAAATGTTTTCTGCCAGACTGACAGCGACTTTACACTGAAATTGATTGACTTTAGGATAACAGGTAAATAAAGACCCTCCAAAATGAGCATATCTTTTGGTCTCTGGTTTTGCATTCTCTGCTATTTTAAGTCATTTGGGGGCATTTGGGGAGACACTATCAGTTTGAAATGGTAATCCCAAAGTCCTAAGTTAATTCAATTAAATTCTTGTTAAAGTTTCTGTTCCATAGTATATTCAAGACCAAAGAAGGGAAGAGGAATACATGTGAGAAGACAGGTTAGTATTTATGGTTTTATGTGGACTTTGAAATTTCTTTACCCATAGGTATAGAAAAGAAATATCTTCAGTGTCTCCTAGGCAGAGAGCATAGTTTAGTCAAATTCCAACCCCAAAATAAAACTTCGCTTTCACTGTAACAAAGAAAAAATTTGAGTGGACTGAGCCATAATTGTTGAATCCTTTATCTCTGTGAACAACTCAAATACATCCCATCTAGCCTGTAACTAGCAGAAATTTTAGATCCTTATTAGTATAAAGGCCACCTCGTTAACTAAGAAACTGGCTGCACTGGATTTAGAAAGATAGCCTATTTCCTTTTAAGATCTACAAAGAATAGAAAGTCAACACAACCAGTTTTGAACAATGAAATTAATGGTAATCATAGATCTAGTTTAATTAAGTGATTTTTCCAATCTTGGCAGCCCATTAGAATCACCAGGGGAGCATTTAAAGATCTGTGATTACGCCCCACACTGGAGAAGTTAAATCAATTCTTGGAATGGGGCCCTAGGCTTGGATACTGTATCCAAGACTCCTGAGGTGTTTTTAGTGAGCAATTGGGATTGAAAGCCACTAAGTTAATTGGCTGTTCCCATCTTGGTAGTTCCTTTGGCTTTTATATGGTTCTTCAGTAATTCTGACCTTAGGATTTGGTACCTCAACCTTCAGATGGCATGCAAGGAGAGCTCCTATATAATAGCTGGTCAAATTGAAACCCTACCTGGGGCAGGTCTTCCTTTATTATTTAATACCTCCTCTTAGGATCTCTTCTAGCACATATTACTAATTCTAATCTATTGAAGGATTCACTTATATTCTGGTCAGAATGGTTTAGTGATTAGAGCTTGTGTGTTCTTTTTGGCTGCCTCACCAAAGGCAAGGAAAGTATTGAATAAGATGTGAAGGAATAGGTACTTAATAATATTTGTTGGTGAGAAAAGGGAGCCCAGGTACAAGAATATTTTTGAATTTCAATACATCCTGTTGTCAAACTAGAAAGAAAATGGATTTTCAAGTGTGAACAGTATAAAAATAAATGAATGCCCTTTCTGTCAATTAAAAATAACTGAGGCAACTTTTAGATTGCTTGATAATCTAAACTCTATTATGTATAATAAAACATGAATCTGGACTTTGAAAAAGATTTTATATACTTTATCTGAGCTCCTAATTTATGAACCATAAATGAATCTCCCAAAATTCAGCTTAAGGGGTTTTATCAAACATTGACTTTGATCATTTTACTTTTCCTTCAGTGTCTTGCAGGAAAACAAACAATACAATTGGGTAGAAAGTTTAGGAGTTTGGTAAGATCTAACTTGCTTCTAGAAATTTCTAAAACATAGAAGCAGACAGCTAAAGTTATAATATTTAAGAGACAAATTTCCATTTTGGGGGAAAGTGAGGCTAAGGAAAGAGACTATGGGATTAGAATCTCATTATTTTAATTAAATTTTTTATTTCATTAAGAAAGTGTTTTTAAATTGATAGCCAAAAAATAAAAAATTTATTTAATAATTATTCTGTCCAAGGTGCTATACTAGAATCCATAGAGACATAACGAAAAGTATGGTTCCCTTTCATAAGGTATGAGAATAAAAGAATAGCTGAATGGATGGAGGCACCATTTTTTGAGATGGGAAATATTGAACCAGAACTAGTTTTGATGAGGTCTGAATTTGGGCCATGTTAATTTGAAATACCTACTAATCATTCAACTAGAGAAGTAAAGAAGACAGCTGGATATGAACCAAGTTGTAAAATTTGGGATTTGAGAACATATTTGGTAATCGTGAACATAAAACTGCAACCAACCATTTCCCTGAGTAGATGATGCTACTTAAGGAGGAAATATAAAAGGAAAAGGTCCAGAGAGGAAGATGTGACACCCTACCTGTAAAATGACTAAAGATCTTAAAATGCTTATGAGAATTTCTCCAAGGAACATACTTTTTTAGCACTAATTTTTTTTTATTCTAAAACTTCACAAACTTAAGGTTATCAATGAAGCTTTTTAGGTCTAAGCAAGTAGACTGTTGTGCCCAGATAGTGACTTAGGCAACTGCCTTGAGTCTTGCTGTCAACTCCAATGCAGGCTGCAGAGTAGAAAGATATCTTGGGGTTGTCACTTCTAGAGCTGTGTTGTTTTTCTGCTGCACTACACAGCATCTTCCAGATAAAAGAAGGTGAAATATTTGACTCTTTAATCTGCAGTGAAAGAAGTCCTGAATGTTCCTTGGTTTTCTATTAACTGATATCAGGTGGAAAAAGAAATTCACCAACAGTCTTCCTGTGGATGCCTGGGGAAACACATGTTTGTAGGTTAAAGTCTCTTTCCCAAAAAAATAAAAAAAATAAAGTCTCTTTCCCACATTACAAACCAAATAGTTGTTTTTTTTTTTTTTTGGGGGGGGGGGCATATCAGGAATTGAATCCAGAAACTCACAACCTAGGTAAGCTACCACCAAACTACATCCATAGCCCTACAAAATGGATTTTGACAACTAGGTATAACTAAGAAAATAATTTTGATGAAAGCTTTCTATAGAAGATTACAGATAGGAGACTGTAAGTTTGGGTTTTGGAGTCTATAATAGAAGGATTTGGAAGATAACATTGTTTTGGTTGATTTGTGACAAATTCCAAATGCATAGATAACTTAGAGCTCTGCTTTTCCTAATTATGAGCAAGACATTTACCCAAATGCATGTGATGAGTTAACCAACAAGTCACTCTTTACATGAAGGGTTGCTTTATGAATGAATGAATGGTTAAGCAAATTTATAAAAGTAATTCAAACAATACTATATGCATTATTTTGTTCCTTTCCCCAGCATTTTTTATTGGTGCATTATAGTTGTACATAATGAGATGTGTTGTTACATATTCATACATACACACAATATAATAATATAATTCGGCCAATATCATTCGCCAGTATTTCTCCTTTCTCTTCCTTTCTCCCACCTCCTGTTTCCTTTCCTTTATTTTACTGACCTTCCTTCCATTTCCATGAGATCCCCAAAACCCCACCTTTCTTTTCCTTTTTCCTCTCCAGCTTCACTATGAAAGAAAACACACACATCCCTTGACCTGAATTTGGCTTATTTCATTTAACATAATGTCTCAAGTTCCATCCACTTTCCTTCAAATGACCTAATTTCATTTTTCTTTATGGCTGTGTATGGAGTTTTATTCATTCATTCATTTATGGATACTTAGGTTGGTTCCATACATGGGTATGCATGTATCACTATAGTATGATGACCAGTTCTTTAGGATAAATACTGAGGAGTGATATAGCTGGGTCTTATAGTGGTTCCATTCCTAGTCTTTTGAGGAATCTTCATACTGATTTCCATAGTAGTTGTACTAATTTACAATCCCACCAACAGTGTAAAAGTGTTCCTTTTTCTCCACATCCTCCCCAGAATTTATTATCGTTCATATTTGTTGTTGGTGGTGGTACTAGGAATTGAATTTAGGGGTGCTTAACCACTGCGTCACATCCCCCATCCTTTTTTAAATTATTAATTTTTTTTAAAATTTTGAGACAAGTTCTCACTAAATTTCTGAGACTAGACTCAAATTTGCAATCCTTCTGCCTCACCTTTCTGAGTCACTGGGATTACAGGCTTGGGCCACTATGCCTGGCTAGACATTGTTTGTATTCTTGATGACTGTCATTCTGACTAGAGTGAGATTAAATCTCAGTGTATTTTGATTTTCATTTTCCTAATTTGTTTTGCTCTCATTTTGATTACCCATAATGGTAGTGAAGGCTTTATCACTCAAACTTTTACTGATTAAAAGAAAATCACAGATATAGTAGTACACCCCATAATTCATCTGAGGCAGAAGGACTGCAACCTCAAGGTCAGGCTCAGCAACTTCGTGAGACTCTGTCTCAAAATTAAAAAAAAAAAAATAAGAAGGATTAGGGATGTAACTCAGGAATTACTTCCACAAGCAACTTTTCTTTAGCTGGTGGGGAAGGATACTGGGGATTGAACCCAGGGCACTCTATCACTGAGCTATATCCCTATCCCTGCTTATTTTTTATTTGGGACAGGGTCTCCCTAAATTGGTCAGACTGTCCTCAAATTTAGGATCCTCCTGCCTCAGCCTACCGAATTGCTAGAATGACAGGTCTGTGCCACCACACCTGGTTACAAGCAACTTTTCTCCCAGTGTTCATTGTAGAAATATATATACAAATACATATTCTTATGTATTTACATTATGTGTGTACATGTACTATATATTATATATTCTTACATACATCTAGGAATAAACATATTTGGTATTTGGAAAGAATTTAGTAATTAACAGTAAGAAAAATAAGATTGAGGAATTACATGTCTTGTTATTTAAAAGCTAAATATTATTTCGATTTAATTTTTTTAAATGCCACCAAAAATGTTTTTCCGAGATAACAGAGAAAACTTTCAAATTAATTACTTATACTTTCATCAGTTTGTCTATTTTGACGAAGTATTAGGAAACAGCACATTTGCTGATTTGTGGGATTTAGATTTAAACATTACGCATCTTTATTCAGGGAAACACTCAACATATTAGGCAACTAGCAGAGTACTTGGCATGAAAAACAAACCACATTATTTATAATTTACAAAATCTATATTTAATAATGTGTACACAGGTTTAAAAAATACAGAGCAACCATGCCCAAGAACTCTACCAAAAGGCGAAAGTCTGATCCTATTTGACGCATGCACACACGATACACTGGGCATAAATGCATTTACACGACGGGAGGGCAGCTGTATTGAGTCTACACAAGCAACGCATCATGTAACTTCACCCGAACCCCACAAACTTACAAAGTTTAAGGTGATCATTTCTCTGAGGACTGAAATTGCAGTAGAGCCTACTCCTATTTTCTGTTAAACTTGTTTTCCCCTCAAAGTAGTCCAGGAAAGGGGATAGGGCATTATTATCAGAGCAATGTAATTCACAAGATTCGTTAATGAAATCTACAAAATACAGAAAAGGAAGATGCAATAAAATGATTGCGTCCGTAGGTGTGATGATATGACTGAAAGTAACCTGGAAGTTTATTAATTTGATATGAAGAATCCTTGGCCACTGCAGCTATGTGAGGGGAGTCTGCGGTGGGGAGCGGGATCCCTGGGCATTTCACCCCCGCGGAGCCGCGCGCCCTAACTGGCCATCTGGAAAGGCTCTGGCTGGAAGCCGAAGAGCCTCTGGCCGTACGGCTCGCTCTCGCCCGGCAGCTTTGCGCCTGCGAACGGCAGGTAGTGGTCATGGCTGAAGTGCTCACAGTGGAGATTGACCCAGTCCCGCTCCGAGCCCAATCGCTCGGCCTCGGCCAGGATGCGGGTCAGTGCCATTATGTAGCTCAGCGCCATCTGTAGGGTCTCGTACTTGGACAGTTTTTTATCCTGGCCCCACTGGGGCACCACCCTGCGCAGACGGTCGAACGCTGTGTTGAGACCCTGCATGCGACGGCGCTCGCGCGCGTTGGCCGCCAGGCGCCTGCGCGCCGCGCTCTCCAGCCGTCCGGCTCCGGCACACGTGCCCGCGCACTCGGCACCGCCCGCGCACGGGGGCGCGGCGCGTGCTCCCGCAGACGGGCCGCAGGGTTTGCAGGACTTCATCCCTGGCCGCGAGGTGGGAGGGGCGGAGCTCAGCAGCGGGCTCTGGACCTGTGCGTGGACTTATCTAATCGGCTTCTTAGCAAATAAGTCACAAACAAAATAACTCACGTGCAAACAGTCTACAGTGGGGAGTGCGGGGCTCGGCCTTCTGTTCTGCTGATTGACCTGAGGCTGTCTGATCACTTACCCAAATGTAGGGGGAATCGAGAGGCTCAAGAAAAAGTCATTTTTTCCCAACGTGAAGTTGAAAAACAGAAGGAAACCTTGCAGCAGACTTTAGTGTGGCTGGTTCGGGGAAGGCCTTTGCAGTCCTCTGAGAAAAGCCAAGGCTGGCTTCCAGGAAGATGAAATCTCTTCCGAAGCTCAGCTAAGGAAGGAGCGCTTTTACCGCAAGCAGTAGCTGTCGGAGAGCGCGGGATGAATCTTTGAGGGAGGAGAATTTATAGTCGACGGCTAAAGGAGGGAACAGGTGGTGGCAGGTGGGCGGGCGTCCCTCGGCTTCCATCTCAGCACCTTCCTACCCTGGGAACTGCAGGGGGGAGGGGGACGACGCACAGCAAAATCCTGACATTACTGCCTTGTCTGTTGAAGTTTCTCCAAAGCTATGTCCAACACTAACTAACACACCATCTGGAGTGGCCTGGCTGTCCCCAAAAGAATAACGAGTTGAGGGTGGGGGAAGAGCTTGGTCCTTCTTTTCCCATATCAGCAGGCAGCTTACATATCAAAAACTTAGCTAAGATTTTTAAATTACTAGAAATCGTTTATGTGAAGATGTTAATCTTGGAATTATGAGACAGATGTATCAGAAATCAAGTATAGGCTAGCTTTGTTGACAATTTTGCATAATGGTGATCTAATATGTTGACATTTTTGTTTTATCTACTAAGTAAATTGGAACAAATCAGTAAGTCCTAATATCGTAGACCTGGAATTTTACTGTGCAAATAATTTGGCTGTTTTCTGCAAAATCACTGATTATATCAAAAGATATTAACGTATATATTTAAAACTTTATATTATTCTAATTATGTAATTGCATTGCATGAGTTCAGTTATCTAGGCAAATTAATTCATTATCTATACTTCATTTCCCCATTCATAAATGTTTGTGGGGTATACATGGAAATGACAACTTATTAATGATTTGACATTTAAATCTAAAAAGCTAATAATGCACTTAGGAGTGCAAAATTCAAAAATCTAAGTAATTTGTGAGGTTTTAAAAATAATTCCTATTGAAAGATTTTTGCTGATCTCATAAGGCTGAAAATATTTCATACAACTTAAATGGTTCAGTTATGTTACCAGTCCTCAGGAACAATAACGAAGCCCTGATTTTCATTACTGGTAATGATTATATGATTTATACAGGAAAATTATTATTTTGATTCTCTAGTGTCAGCTTGTTTCTTGTTCTTAAGAGGAATCAAGAGACTCCAAATAGGTCTAATCCAGAATCAATTCTGGATATTTCAGGAAGGCCAGATAAGTTATTTTTCCTTTTGAATTATGGATGTGTCAACATTATTTTTGGATATTTTGGATTAATTTAATTATCAATAAGCTCTCACAAATCAAGTCTTTTAACTGTGACTTGCTTCCCCCGTCATTGCCTCAGACTTAACCCCATTGTGACTGCCCTGACTCCAAGTCCCATCTTCCCATAAATAGTTGATTAATCCCCAGCTGAAACGATGACAATGAAATGAAGTTGAATAACATAAAGACAATAGGATGCAATTGAACATTAATGATCTTCAGCATGACAGATGTGGAACACAGACTTTTGCAAGGAGCCACTCAGCTCTGTTACCCTGAGTCCTAAACGGTCTTGGTTAGGAACAGCAGTCCTGTGACAGCAAAGACTGTGTTATTTAGTCATCAAAATGTCAAATATGAGGATTTTTTTCCCCCATTTTTCTTGGAAACTGCCCTGTTAATGCTATTGCTTCTCAAGTTCATTTATCTAATCTCTTTCCCCTAAAGAGCTCCCTCTGGGCTGCTCCATGGAATGTTTCTGTGCAAAACAGTACATGTGCTCGTTCTGGTTACAATTGTACAAAGCAGTAATGACATGTGTGCTTTTGCAAGTCATGTACCTGGGTTGCAAGTCATGTACATGAGCATAGCCCATGTACCCAAGCATTGAAAGCATTAACTCAAAGAGAAAAAGGAAATGGCACTATGTGAACAACACAGCTAGATTAGAACATAAACTAGAAGATAACTACGACATGAAATTGAACCAAGGATAGAGAGTATTGCTGAAATTAAAGGGCCTATGAGCATATTGTAAAACATTCCCCAAATGTATCCTGAAAGACATTATTAGTACTATAAAGATGCTTCTGGGGAAAGGATCCCACCATCAAATAAGTTTGGGAAACATGTGTACTACATCTCACTTGGTGAGTCATGAAGCAGAATTGGCATGGGAAAGTTTCTGAGAAATCCTGAAGTAAAAAAAAACTAAATGAGGCTGGGGTTGTGGTTGTAGATTGCTTGCCTAGCATGTGTGAGGCACTGGGTTCGATTCTCCGCACCCCATATAAATAAATAAAGGTTAAAAAAAAAAAAAGAAACCTATTGACTTCAGCATTTCCTAGACCTAAACTTTAGCATTTGCTTGAACACAGACTCTTTTTTTTTCCTTTTTTTCTAAAAGGATCTATTAACATTCCTTGGACAATTTTCCAAGCTTGTTCTAGCATCTTCCATTTATTTTGTAGAGGAGGAGACTGAGATCCAGATACTGAACACTGTGCTTGAAGGCATGAAGCCATTTAATGACGGGATTAAAACAAGAAGTCAAATCTCCTGCATCCTTTTATTTTAGACGCTTTAAAATTATGAGATCACTTAGGACCCTTATTTTGTAATGGAGTAACAGAGATCCAGCCCAGTCAAGCAACTCATGAATAAAAGTTTCAGGAATATAATTAGAAAGGTAGAGCTTAAAGGATAGTGTTTTTATGTTACAACTCTAGCGTCTAGCAGCACCTAAAAATAACAAACCAGATAAAATGACTGGAAAATTAAATTAGATAAATGATAGAAAATGATCAGAATGAGCACATTCCTAGTGAATAAACTCATACTGATCATTTTCATCCCCTCACTTATGAAGAACAGAAACTGTTCGATATTTTGTATGCAGAATGGGTTATTTTTATTAAAAAAGAAAGATAGCATTTGGACCGGAAGAACCTAATTCAAACATAGCATTTGAACCTTTGCACATCAGACTAAATTTCCATAATGAGGAAATATTCCTATATTGAGGCTAAGATCCTATCAGTTGAATGGACAGTTACTGTTATTAAATAAAGTTTATAAGAGACCATTGATCTGAATTAGTTCCTGTATTGGGCCCCACAGACCAAACCAATATGGAGTCATTCATGCTAAATGAAACTAATTGACTTAGGAGTATACTCATATAACAAATGGCTGACTCTCAATTAGTTATAGCAGCAAAGCTTTAGTCAATCCTAGGCAGACAACTGATTAAGGTAAAAGCTACAACCAATTAAGTGCTATACCTGACTTCTGTTTTCTATCTGTAATTACTATTTGTAAGTTCTATCTAATCATGTCCCTGGCCAAAGTTCTTTGAATATGTTATGATTCAGAAGCCTGTCCAATTCTGGAATCATAAATAAAAGACACAAATATAAGATCTGATAAGTTATTGCAGTTTTGTGTTTTGACACTATTATCTGGAGGCCAGTCAGAAGTTAAAACTGATAGGTGAAGATATGGAGATGGCAGAGGGTATCTGTACACCTGTAAAATGGGTAGAAAATGGGAGAAATACTATCTTAGAGTTAAAAAACATCAAAGGTTGGGAATTATTACACATGTGGAATAGACTCCATGGTAAACATTCTTGTATTATTCAAAACCGTATTTCATTTTTAAAATGGAAGATCTTAGCTAGGTGTGGTGGTGCATGCCTGTAATCCCAGTGACTTGGGAGGCTGAGGCGAGAGGATTGCAAATTCGAGGCCAGCTTCAGCAACTTAGTGAAAGGCTAAGTAACTTAGTGAGACCTTATCTCAAAATAAAAAATAAAATGGGCTGGGGATGTGGCTCAGTGGTTAAGCGCCTCTGGGTTCAATCCCTAGTACTCTAGTACCAAGTAAATAAATAAACACTGAAAAAAAACCAAAAAACCCACATCATTAAAAAAAAAGCCCCCCAAAAAATGTCTATCCTGAAATTTGTAGAGAAAAATATGGAAAAGAAGACTAAGGCTTCTTTATGAAGGGTGTGGAAATCAGGGAGCTCTGGATACCCAAAAGACAAAAAGTAAGCCAGCAAAAAGGAATGATGAAGTTGAGTTTCACTTACATTTTATTAAAGGCCACAAGTGGAAGGTGTTAAGAGCTCTTGTAGCTTTATAATGTAGTTACTAGAAAGGAAAAAAAAAATCCTTTCCAAATGATTAGTATGTAGAGAAAGAGGAAGGGAGAGACCAGGATTGATCTCCACTCCCTTCTGCTCAAAGGTCCAGGAAAAAGAAAATCACAAGGAGGGCAGAAACTAAAAAGGGAAAACTAATAATAGGATCCAGAAAAAAAAAAATGGCAATGATGTGAAACACTGTCCTAGGCACAGAAGTTATCACTCACCAGAAAGTACAGGCTTTCCAAAAGGCCCCAAGTGGATTCTCTAACCCCAGTGACTACACACTTCTTGAGAATTCTGATTCAGCATCCTGCTTTCGTTTCCAGCTGCCATGAGCCACACTGATTTGTGCAGTTTGAACTCTGCCTTCACTCTTCTTGCTAATGGATCCTCCTTCTTTCTTCTTCTCCTCCTCCTCCTCCTCCTCCTTCCTTTTAATTCTAGATGGACACAATGCCTTTACTTTGTTTATTTATCTTTATGTGGTGCTGAGGATGGAGTCCAGTGCCTCACACATGCTAGGCAAGCACTCTAACAATGAGCCACAACCCCAGCCCGCCCCCCCATGGATCTTTGCAGCTTTGGAG